CACCTGCCTACCTGCCCACCTCCCGACCTGCCCACCTGACTCCTGCTCACCTGCCTACCTGCCCACCTGCCGACTTGCCCCTTGCCCACCTGCCCCTCTGCCCCCCGCCGCAGGCCTCATGGAGACGTCCAAGCTGACCGAGTGCCTGGCGGGGGCCATCGGCAGCCTGCAGGAGGAGCTGAGCCAGGAGAAGGGGCAGAAGGAGGCGCTGCTGCGGCGGTGCCAGCTGCTGCAGGAGCGTCTGGACCTGGCCGAGGCCCGCGCCGAGGGCCTGCGCCAGCTGGAGGCCGACCACGGCCGCATGAAGCGCGAGGTCAGCGCCCACTTCCACGAGGTGCTGAGGCTGAAGGACGAGATGCTCAGCCTGTCGCTGCACTACAGCAACGCGCTGCAGGAGAAGGAGCTGGCCGCCACGCGCTGCCGCGGCCTGCAGGAGGAGGTAGGCGGGCCTGCCCCGCGGCCCTGCTGCCGTCCCCCGGGGCCTTTGCACTCGCTGGTCCGTCTCCCGGGATCCCGCCCCTCTTCCTTGTCCAGCACCTCCCTGCCCCAGAGCCCTGGCCACGGCCACTCCTGGAAGCCGGCCCCTGGTAGCCTGCAGGGCGGCGAGGTGGCCTGGCTGGAATGGCACACCTGCCTGGAGCAGGCCTGGCGGTGCGGGGCCCGTATCGGCAGACCCGCCTGCGGCCAGGCCCAGCCCCAGCAGCGACGTGGGCCGGTCGGTCTCTGGCGCCTTCCTTCGTCCTCCTCAGAGGGCTGCATGGGGAGGACAGTTGTCAGGCTCGGCCTCCAGCTCACTCCAGTGCCTTTCACTCCTGCTTTGGTTGGGGAGGATGTATTCACCGGTCTGTGAGCCGTCTTTAAATATCGAGGGTGTTCGTTTTTTTGTCATTTTATTTGTTGTTTGCTTTTAATTTTTGAGTTTTAACTTTTTATTTAGATAAAATTTCAAAATTTTAAAAAAACACCCGAAAATGGTACAAAGAATATCCATAGACCCTTTCTTTATCATTTGCACTTTTTTCTCCCCGCATTTCCCTGTCTGCCTCTCTCTACCTACACACCACACACTATACACACCACACACACTGTACACACACACACACTGTACACACACACACTGTACACACACACACTGTACACACACACACTGTACACACACACACCGTACATATCACACACACTGTACACACACACACTGTACATACCACACACACTGTACACACACACACTATACACACCACACACACTGTACATACCACACACACTGTACACACACACACTGTACACACACTGTACACACACACTGTACACACCACACACTGTACACACACACACTGTACACACCACACACTATACACACACACACACTGTACACACACACACTGTACACACACACACACTGTACACACACACTGTACACTCCGTGTCCTGTGACATGCCCCCTCGCTGTGGAGCACCGACTTCCCCTCCGCGTCCCGAGATGTTCTGGGGTCAGCTGCTTCTCTAGGGCCCCGGTTTCTTCCAGAGGGCAAGGTCTGGGCACTGGGCGTGCCTGCCGCTCTTAGTGTCTTGGCTTCTCGGCCCTTTTAGGAGACAAGGCTGGGTAACGTGCACACACATGCATGTAAATATACATACACATATAGTGTGTGCAAGTACATGCACATACACAATACACACATGCACGTGCACGTGCACACACATGTATATAAATATATGCATGCATATAATGTGTGCAAGTACACACATACACAGATACACGTCCATATGCACGTGCACACACGCACATAAATATACATACACATGGTATGTGCAAGTACATGCACATACACAGATACACATACGCATATGCACGTGCACACACATGCATATAAATTATGTACATGTAGAGTGTGTGCAAGTACACACACAGATACACATACTCATATGCACATACATACATGTACATAAATATACACACATACACATATAGTGTGTGCAAGTACATGCACACACAGACACACATAGTATATGCACGTGCACACACATATATAAATATCTATGAACGCATATAGTGTGTGCAAGTACACACACACACATACACATACGTGTGCATATTTTGGAAACCATAAGCCCACACCCTACCTGTAATTCCACCCAGTCCCGTGGCTCTTTCTTACCTGCAGTGAGCTTCCCCCGGCGGGACACCCCCTCCCAGCGTCATTGCACACTCGCTCGCCGGCTCAACCCTGCAGTTCGACTAAAATAGCTTCGAATCGCGTTGCCTGCACCGTGCAGGGAATGAGCCCACAGGTACACATGTGGGGTTGTGAGCCACCTCCCTCCGCCACCCAGTGCGTGGCGAGCACTGTGTCCGTGAGCTACCGCGGCCCCGCCTCTCTCCCTCTCTCTCCCCCACGTCTGCACGGAGGTCTTTGAACTTGTTTGAGACATAATCAGGCTCGTTTGTGTCCGTTCACTTTCAGTCTCAGGCTTCCCCCTCTCTTCCAGTTCTTGACCATTTAATCTTCTTT